GAATTTAGGGTAAAAAAAAGGAAGGTATGAATTTAAGTTAAGAAAGGGAAAGAAATAAAAACTAAAAAAGCTTCTTCCACATCCAGGAAAATAGGCTTGTGATTATGCAACATACTTCTATTAATGTAATTCTGCAGAACAAAAAATAAAATAGCTAAGGTCTTGCATATGGCAAGTGTTCTTAGGCATTAAAAGACATTATCATGTCTATTTTAAAGTTAGAAATATAAGAGGTGGAGACAGTAATTTTTCTGACCCTCTTTCAAATTTCCCTTCTCTATGAAGTCTGTATTGGCTAGGCAAGTCTAATGATGAATTATCCTTTAAATCTCAGTGGTTTCATGCAACAAGGTGTTCTTTTCACCCAGGAAAGAATCTGCTGTGGCTCTACAGAATGGCTCTTTTAATAATGACTCAGAGGGCTGGCCCTGTAGCCTAGTGGTTAAGAGAGATGGATTCCACATGGCTGACCACAGTTTGAGTCCTATCTCTGGTGTCTTGAAAAACTCTCTGAGGTATGTTCATGCTCTAAATCCTAATAGGATAGAGAAATGGAGAAGAAGGGATGGTGGCATGACCACACAACATTAGAGAATGCTTTCTTCCTTCCTCTCTCTCTCTCTCTCTCTGGCAATTGAAAAAATAATGACTCCAGGATACAGTCTAGGGCCAGTCAGTGGCATGATGGTTAGTATGGCTGGAACCCACTTGGCCAGCTTCATGGTTTAAGTCCTATACCCAGCAGCTGGAAAACACACCAGGCATGTGTGCATGTGTGCTCAAAATAGTGAGAGGAAAATGGAAAAGGATTGCAATGTGGCCATCCCCCCTGCAGGAGACTATCTCATTTTCCCTCTTTCAGTTGTCTGTAACTCTCTCTCTCTCTCTCTCTGTGTGTGTGTGTGTGTGTGTGTCTTGGATAGTGCATACATCCTATAGCAAAAAGCAAATTAAATAATAATAATAATAATAATAATAATAATAATAAAAGAGTACACAGTATATTTCTATTTTGTCCCATTTCAATGTAATCCTGAAGAGTTTCAGGCCAGTTACTTTGTATATTGAGTAAATACAAGTCATGATTTCTTCTTTAATCTCAACATGTGACTTTCAGATCTAGACAGAAGAAGGGAGCTGAAGGGCTACATGGGGCTTGGCTGGGGCATGGTTCAGAAGTGACATAAGCCGCCACTTACAGTTCATCGGCCAGAACTAGTCACAGTCCCCACCCAAAGCAAGACGTTGAGAACTATAGTCCGCTATGCCCCTCGGAAGAACAGGAGAATTGAATATTGATGTGCACAGCAGCATCTACCATGCCATGAAAGTGAAAGTCACTGACACGAGATGGTGATAAATGAGGACCACCTCTGGTGCTTCGGCAAGGGCAGAAGCAGATTGGTAGCAGAAGCGGCCGGAAAGAACTAGTTAAGAACATGCAGATAAACAGATCTTAACTCTGTTGTCTGATATTTTACTTTATGGTGAAAATAGTTTTGTTAAAATAGACAGTGAGGAGCCAAAACATGGCACCACTTCAACAGATTTCTTTAGCATGGGAGCAGCAGTTAGCATAATGGCTATGTTGCTGGACTCCCAAGTAGTCCACCGCGGTTCGTGTCTGGACCCGGTGGCTTAAACTCACGCCAGGCGCGTGTGTGTGTGTGCCCAAGATCCCGAGAGGAGAACGGAGGAGAAGGGATTGCGGCATGGCCATCACCCCTGGAGGGGTGATTTCTTGCTTTCTGTCTCTCTGTCTGTGTCTGTCTGGCAAGCGCACGCACCCTATAGCAAAAACCTCTCAAAAAAAAAAAAAAAAGATTTCTTTGGCAGATTTTGAAGTGATCATTCATAGAAGCTGCAGAGACAGAATTCTTTAACTTCTTTCCTTTTTTTCTTTCTTTCTTTCTTTCTTTCTTTTTTTTTTTTTAAAGAAACTAACCTTTTATAAAAGAAACTGACATCTGTTCACATCCATAAGATGTGAGGAAGCATGGATATAAGCCGGCCTTTGCTGGTGCTCCTTCTTATTTGCCTAGAAAAACAATCGTATCACAGGAAGAAGAGGCTTAGAGGTCTAACACTGAGCGCAGGAAAACAAGACAGCCTTTGCATCTTCTCCCTCACCCCTTCGTAGTTTCAGTCCAAGCTGCTGCTTTCTGGATGCTATAAAAACCTTCAGGTTCTTGGCCCTCCTTTGAGTTCATATTTTGTATGGCTCTTGCAAACACATGTACACACATCACTAAATGATTGTGCCTTTTTCCTGTTAATCTGGCTATCATTTTATGTACTAAAACATCACTGAACCTTCCAAGGGAAAGGAGAAAACTTAAAAACTTCCCTGCAACACTTATTCTTAACCCAGAATTCACAAATACTAGAGAAAAAGAGCATTTCCAACCCATTGGTTGGGTTAGTCCCAACGTGGGTGTGGGTCCATCTGCAAATTATGTAGAGTTGGAAGAATCAGCTCTTTTCCTCCTGTTCTCCCTTCTTGTCTCAGGTAGCCAGATGGAGAAGAGATTTCTACTTTGCAAAGTCTCTGGGCTGTAATAGTTTATTCTAATGACCAATGGTTCATTTGAGAGGCACCAGAAAGCATACTTCAAGAATTACATGTATGATTCTGAGCATATCCATTAATTTTTCTCTAAGTAACAGGGAACATATAGGAAGTAGGCCATTCTCCTTGAGGCCTGGCATTTCCACATGCTCTGTCACCATCTGCGTTCAGTTGGTCTACCTCTCATCTCCTCGTTAGTAGCTACGTCACGAGGAGGGTCTTCCGTTTCCTCGCCTGGCTCTGCATGTGCCAGTCTCTGCCATGCTGTATTGAGGACCCTCAATGGTTAGATAACGGTAATATTTGTTGAGGACACGAGTGGCTAATTTTGCTTTTCCCCTCACTTAGGACGACGACCACGGGCAGCCATTTCAATAACACGCTCAGTTGGCTCACCTCGCTGCCTTCCAGTTCTTGATGTTTTCAATCTGTTCCACCCTGCTGGGTGGCGGCTGGGGAAGCAGTGACACTCGAGGATCTATAGCAGTGTAAGTACAAGAAAAATGATCACAAAAACACAGTTTGTGATCATTTGAATAGAAATCTCCATAGCAACGGGGCTGGGGATTCCTCAGAGAGATCAAATCAAAACGTTTGTTCATAGAAATTTCTTTTCCTCTTGTTAGTTTAGTTCTAGTTTTTTTTTTTTTTCTGTGTTAAGTTATTCTAATAATATGAGTACAGTTTTTTTTTTTTTAACACACAAGAGAAGGGAGACAGAAAGAAAACAGCCCCCCTTACTGGAGCCTGGTCATGCTCTCCCTTTTCCTCTAAGTCTCCATTCCATCAGGATCCTGGGGACCTAGTGGAAGCTGATGGGGTGAGAGTTCAATCCATGTTAGCCCTGTGAGATCTATAACAACTTTTGGCCAACTCTAATTATTGATCCATTTTAACCTAATGCTCAATGCGAAATGTATTTTTAAATTAATCTGTAAATTTTCCTTAGCATTAGGCTCATTAAATTGTTCAGACTGACATCTCTTCCCCTTCTAATTAGTGTTTTTCCTTTTTAACTTATGGTAACAAGCAGTATGTTAGAAATGCTTGAATTCAAAAATTACCCACAAGACTCCTGGTTAATTCAGCAATGGAGAGTAAGAAGAGCCCTTAAAGCACAATTTCAACATCGTTACCTCACCCAGAACCCCCCCCCCCCAAAAAAACCCCCCCAGAACCCCCCCCCCCAAACAGATATTGGCTTCTTATGTTAATGAGATTTGGAGCCAGAAGCTATCTTTGAGATAATCCTCACAGGCACTTTCTCATTAGGAGACTAAGGCCATTGTGTGAGTTGGGACCAGTGTGCCTCTGGCTCTATTCCTGGTTTACTTTAGTAACAAAAAATGAGATCCTGGGTCAGTATGGCTATATGCAAATTGCGCTTTATATTACTTGTTTGAATTCTCCCAGAGCAGTAGGAGAGTAGGAGGTAGGGGAAGGGGGTCTGGACATTTTACAATAAATTCAACGCTATATTGATTAAATAAACATGTATTTGGAAATCTGCAATTTACCAGACATTGAACAAAAGAAGTAAAAAAAAAAAAAAAAAGAAAGAAAAGAAAGCAGTGTCTCTGTAGGCAAAGGATTCATGAACCAGTAGGAAAGTTACATAAGAACTAGGGGAAAAACGGGACAGATATTATTCCAAGAACGATGTACATTTCTATAAAATTTTAGTTACAGTGGGTGCGGTGTTGTACCCCTAGGATTGCAAGAGAAAAAGGTAAAGGGTATTTCTTCTCTTTGGCTTTCCAGATGGGCTTCATACTAACAATTGCAACAACTACTCTGACTACCACGAATGGAAAACTGACACCTTGTACTGGTTACTTTGCATTCAGTTTAGTCGCCATAAAGTGGAGGAGGCAAATGCGCACCCAACACGGTGCCAAGCAATACGCGTTCCTTCCATCCGTTTCAACCGTGAAGTCACAGGCTGGTGTGAGATGCCTGGCTTAATAGCACACTTACTAAAGCGTTCACACTGGGGTCATTATTTCCACCCTCATCCCAAACGCTATGCCGTCTGTGCCTGTGCCACACTGGGTTTGCAGCGCAGGCAGCAGCGCTCCCCACCCCGCCCCCGCCCACCTTCAAGTCCCACCTACCCAGGGACCCCCTGGAAGGAAGCCCTGGAAGGAAGCCGACGGGCGGCGTGGGGCAGCCTGGATTCCTCATCTCTCGTCCAGGAGGCCACACCCAACACAAGGCCCTCATTGTACTGGGGAGAACAGTACCCCCACTGTAGTACGAGGCGGTCCCTCCTGAGAAGGAAGCCAGCCG